GATAAAGGACAGATCCATTTGATATGCAAATCCGAATATGTATGTGAAGATATTGGCGGAGGAAGGGGCAAGAGGCTACGAAGGTGTGGGACCACCCGGCCTCGCCCACGCTTTGTAAACATACATCTTCCAGAGCGCTTTCTGTCGCGTTAAGTTTGAAACCCAAATAACTGATTATTATGGATTTTAACCTTGCACTTAGACATCAATGTGTATTAAACTAACCTACGCTGACATGCGGAAAATAAATGACCGAGAAACATTTAAATAGAGGCAAACAAATAGGCGACAGCATGTAAGCATATGCGTTCAGTAGTTTTAGTTGCCAGAGTGACGCAAAATTAGTTTAAGTTAATAAACAGATGTTACTAACAGACAAATGCACAGGCAAACAGGTACAGACAGGCAACGGTTCAAGTAAAAATTCATTACTCTCGGTAAATACCAACATCTACATATGCAAAGCCAGAAATAAGTGTAAAGTACAGTATCATTTTCAGTGTTTTTTTTTCCACAAGACTGAAGATCAGAATTGACCCTCATGATACAAAGGTTATTGCATGCACGAACAAACAAGCTCACAAGCAGAAAACAAAAAGTGTCACACAACAGACACAAGTAATGAAGGATCTGAACTGTAAGTCTAAACGTTAATTCGCAGATTCTGCTGTTGATAATGAAATATTAATTGGAGAGAGAGAGAGAAAGGAGAGGAGAGGAGAGGGAGAGGGGGGGTAGAGAGAATCTTAATCATAATCCGAACTGTATTTCCATATATAATGTTTATTATTTACAATAATTCTATATACAATAAGAATGTATTTTTCATAAATCGATATCATTTAAAATCATAAATAGAGGAGTGTAAAGAAATATTTGTATTACATAGTAGTCATGAAAGATGGAATAATGCAATGCCGCATTGATATGTATATATAACAATCCTCCCTGACCTGGCCTCGAACCTAGGTCACTCCGGGTATGAGACCGGAGGGCCAGTACTAAACCAACCATGCCACGAGACCCACTATAAGTTGTGTGCAACTAGTATCTAACTAGCTCCATAGACATTATCTATCTACTCATACATGAGTAATGATAGCGAGGTTTTACACACACTCCCCGTGAGCACTCGGTAGGAATTGATTTAGAAATTCGAAACCGAAGTCAGATATCCTGAGGTATATATATGAAAGATGGAATAATGCAATGTCGCATTGATATGTATATATAACAATCCTCCCTGACCTGGCCTCGAACCTAGGTCACTCCGGGTATGAGACCGGAGGGCCAGTACTAAACCAACCATGCCACGCGACCCACTAAAAGGAGTGTGCAACTAGGATCTAACTAGCTCCATAGACATTATATATCTACTCATACATGAGTAATGATAGCGAGGTTTTACACACACTCCCCGTGGGAGTGTGCCGCATTGATATGTATATATAACAATCGTCCCTGACCTGGCCTCGAACCTTGGTCACTCCGGGTATGAGACCGGAGGGCCAGTACTAAACCAACCATGCCACGGTATAGTACTGGCCCTCCGGTCTCATACCCGGAGTGACCTGGGTTCGAGGCCAGGTCAGGGAGGATTGTTATATATAGTAGTCATGTATAGAACTTCCTACATTTAAATTTTCTTTTTATAATAGTAAATACATATTAAATATGGAAAGTATGTGTAAATGAGCAAATTTACAATTCTATGAGTTACTTTCAGAGAAATTAAGATATAAAAGAAACAATTTTGCTAGAAGAGATAGAAGAATCAAAAACATTTAAGCAACGATATTTAACATTTTCAACTAGAACTAGAAATTAACGGCATAAAAATGCAAGAAAACAATAATGTAAAAGTTACAACTTTATGTGTGTTAAACTGATTAAAATAGACTACAAAAAATAAATAAATAGATAGAAACGATAAAAAAGTAGGGTTAGCGGGACAATGGTTTAGGTATGTCCTTGTTGCATACGTCACTTATTCAAATTGACAGTCCTAGACAATTTCCTTTTGAGGGAAAACACTGATTCCATGTTCTTATGGCGAGTTTACAGATTGTGATATAGTTTTGGTCCAGCGATACAGAGAGATAAGGATCCTCTACAGGTATTTGCCCTTGAGATGAAGAGGATGCCTTTTACGTGTACTAGCATACGACAGATCGTTTATCGTGGGAGGCGTAGAGGAACTGTGATTTTATTTATTTATTTATTTTTATTTATTTATTATTATTATTATTATTTTTGCCGCGTCTAAGGTCAGTAGCGGCGTTTACAAAATATAGCTATAGGGTGGGGCAAATATAAGTTAACGATTAGGATAAGTGGACAGAAGGAAATGGAGAAAAGGAAAAGGAAAGGAGAAAAAAAGACCATGCAAAATTAGTTGCGGCGAGGGCTGAGGTCCAATGCAGGGGTATTCCCCTGCATTAGGCCTCAGTCTATAAGGAAGGCGGTAAATGCTATTTCATATTGATTTTTAGATACTCTA